GTGGTCCCCGCATGTACTCTTCAGCTTTCAATTTGGATGCCGTTTTTTTTTTCTTCGTCTTGCCTTATTGTTTTAGCTATAAACAAGTCTTGAAAGTGAGCACCTTGCCTTGCTTAAATCATAAAGTCTTCAGCTTTTCCCATTTGGTACATTACTGGCTGTTGATTTGTTACATACAGACTACATTATGTTGGATTGTGTTCCTTCTGAATCTAACTTGTTTACAGTTTTTATTATGAAGAATGTTGAGTTTATCAAATGCCTCTTCTATACTTACTGTGATGGTAATATGATTTTTGTTAGTTCTGTTGATGTGTTTCAGATTTTTTCATATTGAATCAGTTTTGTCTCCTTGGGACGAGTCTCATTTGCTCGTGATCATGCTGAGTGATTTGTTTAAAAAGATGTATTCATTTTGTTTGAAACCATGGATTACAGGTGGAGGCAATTGCAGGAGCCAAGGGAACGAGGTGTGGGGCGGGAGCACAAGCAGTGTCTGCCGGCTGCTGGGTCCCTCCCTAAGTGAGGAGGCTGGTTTGTGGGCTCAGTCCCAGTGTTTCCATTGCCATATTTGCTTCGTTGTCTTTCATGCACTGATTACTATATAATTCCTAGTACTGCTTTTACTGTATCTCGTAAGTTTTGGTGGCTTCTGCTGAGGTATCTGCGCGCAGGTGAACTTGGCACCCCTTTCGTGGTACTTTCTTGCAGCTTTGTGAATCCTTTGTTTAGGCTTAAAGAGCTTGATTTTGTCTTGAAGTACGCTTGGTTGGTTTGATTCTGAGCATCTCTGATGTTCTTGTACTAGTACAGTTGTGTTCTGTTGGTTTGGAGGTTTGCTGTCCTTGGTTCTTTGAATATGCTTTTATGCATTTGGAATTTTTAGTCCCTTTTGAATCCTTGTAGTTTGGATATTTGCTCTTTCCACGCTGCTCTCATAGTTCCTATAAGCTTGCTTGCTTTTCTTTTTATTTTCAAACAGCATGCCTATTTGACCTTTTTGATTCTTCAGTTTTATTTTATCCCACTATTGGTGTCTTCTGTCACTTGGTGTGCTTTTTCCTTTGATGGATTCTTTTTGATTTTGTGTAATTACTTTATACCTGTCAAATCTGTTAAATGGTAGAATCATTTGCCTTTTTTCTCTCTGGGGCTTCTATCCAGCAGGCCCCAAGACCACCGAGGGGTGAGGCAGCAGAAACACTGGAGACAAACTGGTGGTGAGGGGTGTTTGTTTATTTGAAAGTTACAGGCTTACATAGAATAGGAAAAGGGGTCAGGAAGTAGGATGTTCCCAGTAGCACTTACACACAGCATTACAGCATTACATTGTGAAAGGCTGGTAGACATGTCTATCCCTGATCCTCCTGTGAAGTTACAAGATCAGAAAGCACAGGAAGCTGTGTCAGGGCTACTGGTTACCTACTGAAAAGCAGGATAAATGTAACAGTTGGCTTCCTAGAGTTGTTTACCAAGGAAGTCCTAGCACAGTTTGCTAAAGAAACAGAGAAGAGAGACTGGTGCAACCCGTTCCTCTTGCTGCAAGCACAGTGAATAGGCCTTGTTGGGGTCTTAGTTAGCCAAGGCTTCTGTCGGGTTCCCCGGGGGACACGGTGTGCCATGTGCCTGCGGCCTCCTACCTGGGCTAGGCAGGCAGAGGTCCAGGGGCGATCTCCCGCTTGTTCTCTTGATTGTCATCGAGTTTCCATGGAAGAGGTTATTGGGGAATTTTTGTGAGTATTTTGCAGGTTTCAGTTTCTAAGTGTTGATTTTCTGGCACCCTATTTTACCTGTTGAGGCCTTGGTTTCCTTGAAGGTTTGATGCATTTGGCTTATGACTTTGTCTTACCAGAGTATGGTTATCTGACTTTGTTTGTAGTTGTACTCCACTCGATTTTCTTTGAACCTATGAGTATGTCTGCTATTTCAGCCATGGAAAGCCCCTGCAATCAAAGTTAGCTCTAAGTCGATATTTCCATTCAGTGATTCAGTCCTACAGTATTCCCAGATTTGTTTGAAATCTACAGTTGATGTGTTGCTCGTGTGAACTGGAGAAATGACTTAAAAGGGTGGAGTCTGTTCTGGAAAGCTCCTCCATGTGTGTGGTAGGCTCCCACTCCTTGCCCTTTGTCTGCCACTGCATTAGGTTACATTGGAAGCTACCACCTGGCCTTGTGAAGACCAGTGCAGCGTATGAGTAAAATAAAATTCACCCTGCTATTTTCTGCCTGCTGGCTGGAGTGTAAGACTGCCCGTCCAGATCACGGAACTCTTCTTGACATGATGAAGGTCTGGGGGCTCTGTTTGCTGGCTCTGACCTAGGGGCAAGGGCTGTTAACTTCTGTTCAGTGCTGGGTTTTTCCAGCCAATAGAAAGTCTTAGAGCAGTCCTGTTTCTGTGCTGTTTGTCCAAGGTTTTAGGAAGACTAGAAGCAGCTTCTCTGGCCCTGTGCAGCCTGGAGGTGCATAGAAGACCTGGGCTGGTTACACAGACTTTAGCCAAAGTGGTCCCTACTGCCTCTGGGGCAAGTTCCTGAGACTTTAACATAGGCCATTTCCTAGGGAGCAAAGTTCTGAGGATCTGCCAGGATTGGGTTTTATCAGTCCAGGACTAAGTGGTCCCTTGTTGGGGCATGGTTGGAAAACAGGGATAAATTCAGCCCTTGGGTTGTTCAGGGTACTCCACTCTGTCACAGTCACACGGCTCAAGGGTGTGCCCTAGCCTAGCCAAGGGCAGCAGTGATGTAGTCTTTGAGAGTTGGACCCACTGGAGTATGTATTTTCACCTGAGCCAGGCAAATCTAGAGCTTCATTTTATGAGCACCATGGATGCGTACTGTAGAGACATTTGGCCTGTATCATTTGCAAGCTTTCTGGGTAAGCTGAGCTCTGAGCTCCAGGGTGAAATCCTAACGTCTCTTCTTGTCCTATGGCACTGTTGGAGTTTGCCTTTCTGTCACTGATAGGAGGAGTGGCACTGCCCTCTGGCTGTAGAAGATATAAATATTCAGTTCACAGATATAGACCGGGTGGGGGCGGGACATGGGACTGAGCCTGAGTTTTTTCTCTGTAAGTCCTGGGATTCAGTTTCCTCTTCCTTTTCCAAGAGGAAGGCATCTCTCTGTCTACTGTTCCTTGGAGCTGGGGAAGGATGATGCAGGCACATGATGCTTGCTTTCAGCAAGCAAACTTTGACCTTTTTTATGATTGTAGCAATGAGTCTCACCTGGCTGCTGTAACTTGTGCAGTTTCTTTGAAGGTTCCTTGGGGCGCAGAGGTTGTGTGTGGGTGTAAGCAGATTGGTGTTTCTTTGAGAAGGGGTTATATGCATATCTTACTTGGTTGTGCTCTTGGTTCCCAAGAGCGGTAATCGTCTATAAATTAAATATGGTCCTTAATACATCATAAGTTCTGTATAAGAGTTGTTATACTGAATTGTTTCAGAAATGATAGAAGGCTCCACATGTTCAGAATATATGTGGTTTTATATAGGTTTATTTTATTTTATTGGAAAGTCAGATAGACAGAGAGGAGAGACAGAGAGGAAGATCTTCCGTCCAGTGATTCACTCCCCAAGTGACTGCAATGGCTGGAGCTGTACCTATCTGAAGCCAAGAGCCAGGAGCCTCTTCCAGGTCTCCCAAGCGAGTGCAGGGTCCCAAGGCTTTGGGTCGTCCTCCGCTGCCTTCCCAGGCCACAGGCAGGGAGCTGGATGGAAAGTGGGGCCACCAGGTATAGAATAGGTGCCCATATGAGATCATGGTGTGTGCAAGGCTAACACTTTAGCAACTAGGCTACCTCACCGGGCCCTAGTTTTAAAAATATTTTTATGTGCAGTTGGTTGAATCCATCAGTTTGTAGCCCATGAATATGGAGAGGAGACTTTATAGTCCCACAGTGTTGTTGGGACTTAGAGGACACACTACTTCAGCTACAAGTAGTCTTGATTTGTTTCCTTGATCAAATCATCTTCCTGTTGGACTGATAGCATATTTAGGGAAAAGTGGTAGACAATATCTTCTTAGTGGAGAAGATGGTATCAAGCTTGTAGACTACAAAAAGGAATCCAAGAAGTGGTAATAGTAGTCTTACTGAGGTTGGATGGCATTTTATACTCAAACTGAATGTAAAAAAGCAGATATCCTCAAAGTGTTCACTCTGTGTGGAGTGAATCCTGGTGCTGGAGAATGGGGTGAGATGAGTGGTGTGCTAGATTACCAGGTGCCGTTCGGTGTGAGTGAGGAATACTCGGAGAGCAGAGAAACCTAGCTACTGCGCAGGCTCTTACAGGGTTGTGAATGAGAAAAGCGACTGAGTGTCTTACAGGAGTTTGGTCATGATGAGACAGTAGAAAATCAAGAAACTAAGTAACTGAAAAAATAACGAAATGGATAAAGTAGATATAGAGGTTTTTGAAAGAATGGTGAGGAAGACCTCTAGCGATGAGATTTGAACCAAAGGAAGTAAGCCACGTGAGTGGAGGCAGAAGAACTGGCAGGACTCTTGTATTTTAGGAAGGCCATTGTTGATGTAGCACATACAGAAAATGAAGCCTAGGAATTACGTTAATTTAGTTCACTCAGGTATCCTTGGAGCGGGGATTGAAACCTGGGAGGCCTGATTGCGAAATCAACCATGATTTAGAGGCAACGGAGAGAAAGAGTAGCAAGTTTAGTTGGAGTATAGTCTTGGGGTCACTGTAAATTTTTCAGGTTCATTCTAAGAATTTAGGATTTTATTCTGATTGTGATGTTAAGTCAGTAGAAAATGCCTAGGAGATTAAATCGTGATTGTGGAGTGCAAGCGAGCACTCTGGATTCCACATAGTAAACATTTGGTACTCATCTGTGTGCAGGGAATGCTTCAATATGTCTGCAGACATAATATGCAAGATTTCTTTGGCTTAAAATTATGAATTCTGTATTTTATTGAACAGATATGCATGCTTGTGAATGTGTGTATGTGTGTATAAACAAACTGTAATGACCTCTCTGTTAATAGGTGCGAGAAGATGTACTAAATTCATTGAATAACAACTTTCTTCAAACACTAAACCAAGCTTGGAATGATCATCAAACTGCCATGGTGATGATTAGAGACATATTAATGTATATGGTAAGTAGAAATTTTGTTGTTTTTGTTTCTTTAAAAGGGAATGCACTTGAAACATAGACTTTCTGCCAATTTTAGTTGTCTAGTCATCTGATGTGGAAGGTAATTTTTTTTTTTTATAATAAGCAGTAATTCATTTCAGAGGGCAGCTTCAGCGTGTGGGAATGGAGACTTCATTGTTCCTTAGCTAACTGATTAGAATGGAAAACTGAAAATAAATGAGTTTTCAGCACTTAGCTTCAGTATGAGAAATACTGAAAAGTCTTAAAACGGCACTTCTCAGATAAGAGTGGTTGAATGACAATGTGAAGGATGAAAGCTGAGTTTTATCTTAAAGGTTTTAAAACCTAAGTCCATATGTTTTCAGTGACAGGAAGTCATAGTAATACAGATAGTTGTCTAATAATCATACTCAAATAGCTGTGGTCTTTTTCTGCTAGTGAGTTTGGGTTGGATTTATTATTGTTGCATTAGACTTAGGGTTTTAGCGATATTAGCCTCTTCACGTGTTGATTCACTTTTCATCTCTTCTTGCTGAGTTTCATTGTTGACTGCCAAGAAACATCGTCCATAGCAAAACAATTTGGAAAATTCTGACTTGAGCTAAGCTGCCTAATTTAAATTTGTTTTTAAACATTAGTGTGATTATAGAATGAAGCTAGAATTTGTCAGTTTAGTTACTATATCCCTGCAAAATTAACAAGTCTAATGACTTGTTATTTTAGTATTTGTTCTTGAGAATTAAACATAATGATTTCTTTCCAAGGTTTTATGCTCTTCAAAATCTTTATACTTGCTGGTTTTTAGTTGCAGTGAGAGCTTATACTAGATTACTCGATAGATTAAAACTGGAAAGAATTTCTGTTGGGGAAAAAAACATTTTCCCAATTTTCATTCCAAAACTATTTCACATTAACAGGAAAAAAAGTCACAATATCAATTTCTTTTGACAAAAAGAAACTTTTTCTAGTTTGGTATCATGCACATATTCATGTTACTTAAAAATTCTGTTATGTTTCAGTTCCTTTTCTCTCTTTTCGTTTGCAGTGAACCCTCAGACCTTGAATCCTGGTCCAGCCTTTTCTGACCATGGTCAAGCAGTTATGCATGCCTGAGCTGCCTCGTTTATACAGTGAAAATAATGTTGAACAATTTGGGTAGAGTGGCTGTGAGGCTTACACGAACCATTCATGACGAGCCCTGCTCTGTAGTCACATGCTTAGTAAAACTGAACTACTGTTAATTATTTTTTCCTCCCATCTTTTTATCAAACCCATCTGGGGGTAATACAATATTGGATAAACCTCTCGTAACCTGTTTTGGAGGAGGCTTCATGGAATAGATGTAAGATCAGCCCTGCATTTCGCCCTCGGGTAGCACTCTTCTCCAGTCAGCTTATTCCATCAGTGGTTTCCCAACTACCTCTAGCTCTTCCTTTGTTCCTCTGAGTAAATGAACTCACCTTCCACTTCCACAAGCTATGTTCATTCTTTGCCACTAAATCTCGACTTTATGTCTAACATTTCCCCTTCTATTTTTCTTTTTCCCTCTTTATAAGGAAAATGATCTTTCCTGTTACTTCCACCTTAAGTGTTTTTGGAATCTGCCTTTTAAAAAAAACTGGATCTTACGAGCACCAGAAGCTATGTTTAGACCACTCCACAACCTCTTCCTGATAGATTGCTGTCTTCCATTCCAGGGTCTCTCATCTGGCTCTCACAGCTAAATGTCTCCTAAGAAATTGCTTTCTCCCTTTCTCAGACTTCATTTACTTTGGATGTGCTCCAATTAAGCTCTAAACTGTTCCGTTGCCTTTTGCCCTTAAAAGGATCGCCAATGTATCTTCATCTCCGAGTTCAGAGATCACTGCTAATCCTTAGAGTGCTGGTTGTTCAGTAGCATGTGGCACAGCGGATGGCCTTTCTTCTGTGACCAGCACTGGCCTCGTGCTCCCTGCCCTCGTGGCTGTTTCTCCTCAGTGGACCTTCCCCCTTCCTATCCATTGGAAACATCCTTGATACTTCATCCTCATTCTTCTCTTTATAATGCACTCTGTTACTCCCATCGCTTCTTGTGCCTCCTGCAGTTAATTCCCAGATAATTTCTCTCACCTTAACCTCTGAGACTCAACATTGATTCTCTAGTTGATGGCTTCCTTTATTGTGAAAAGCACACTTGCTCGCTGTGTCCACAGCCGCTTACAGTCACTGTCATTTTAGTTCATACATTAAACTTGGAAATTCCGTGTCAGGTCCTTCCTTTCTACACACATCTGTTGCTACAATCTGCAATTTTCCTGTGCTTTTGTGTCTGATACCCAAGACTAAGCCACCTGTGTTTCTAGGAGTATTTATAACTTGTCTTAGAACATTCACTGGGATCTTTGCTGTTTTGTTTTCCATATTATTCCCAGAGTCAATGTTTTAAAGCGAATCTGATCATGGTACTGCCCTTCTGAAATACCTACCTTTAATCTTAGAATCCTCACATTTGTTATGTATGGGGAAATGTTCCATAATGTTTCTCTTACTCATGTGACTCTTTCCTTTGCATCTTCAGTTAAATTCCATGCATGCTTTTTCAGACTCATGTACTCTCTTCCGGTTACAGTTACTCTCATTGCACTTGGTACTTGTTGCGTTGTAATGTTTATCACAGTCATTACAGTAGGTCTTCTTACCTGTGGGATCTGTTCCACGTGGATGTTGTCTGAAAGTGGGAATAGTTTCAAAGTATAAATTATGTATTCCTATGTATGTGCTCCTGTGATAAAGTTTAATTTATAAAATTAGGTGCAGTAAGGATTAATGGTGATAAACAATAATAAAGTTAGACTGGTTATAGCAGTATGTTGTAATACAATCGCCAGTATCAGTACTCTTGCACTTGGGGCTATTGAGTAGAAAACGAATTGCATGTGTACAGGCTCTGTGAGAGTGTGACAGTTGAGACAGCTCCTAAGGGGTAGCACTGCCCTGATGATTTTAGGCCGGATAGAATGTCATGGCTGAAGGCTTTATCACCATATATAGAATGGTGTGCACTTTAAAACAGGATTTATATCTGAGGTTTTTCATCTAATATTTTTGAGCTTTGGTTGCTCATGATGTGAATAAAGGGATACTATTACAGTAACTTAAGAGTGTGATTTCACCATTAGTGTCAACCTTACGAGGATGGGGATGGTGTCTCTTTAAAACTTAGCACAGCGCCTTGCAGGGCTGGTTTGTTATATGTGTGTATCACAGACCCAGCAGGCCATTTTTTCAAAATTTTTACGAAAAGTGTTAGATTAATTAAAGTATATTTTTATGTTCTATAGGGTAATTTTTCAATTTCATATCTTCCATTCTGTCATTTAAATTAGTCAACTAACCTGCACTTGGCTGCATTTTAAAATAAAGGTACAATTCATGTATATTGAAATGAATTGGAATATTGAAGATGACTCTGATAAATATTTGCCATTCTTGATTCACTGCTTTAAGCAAGATAAATCTGTGCTTTTAAAAAATTTTTTCTTCAGTAGAAAAATGTGTTTTCTTAATGACATCTGTTACTGTTCCAGTATGTGGACAGAGCATGTATGCCCTAGGCGAACTGGCTGTACCTGCCTTGAGCCTCCTGTTGGGCTGTTCTTCCTGTCATTTGCTGGTTTTGACTGCTGATATTTTGGATGTCAATTTCAGAGAGACAAGAGGGAAAAAGATTTATGTGCTCAGCTAGTTGACTTTTAGATTCTGTCTAAAATGTTGTAAATAAGCTCTCATGTGTAGACACTATGTGGAATGCTATTTTTTTTCTTCACCAAATCTTTAAAGCAAATGAAATTACAATTACAAAAACTTGCTCATATAATTTTGTTATTTGCCAAGTTCAGTGTTTGAGAAAGAAAACTGTATATGTGTGTTTATGGGCCTAGAAACTTCCAGCCTCAGGCACTCATCTTGTTCTGATGTTTGAGACTTCTGTTGGCAGTTTCGTTCGTATCTAAAGAAATGATTACGTATTTAGCTTTTAAGATTTGGAGTGGTTAGTGTAAAGTTCATATAAAGCTTTAATTACACAAGAGATTGATGAACTGGAAAAGACTTCAGTATTTCATAAAGTTGATTATACTTGTTAAGTAAATTTTTTGAGGGTAGAAGTGAAATGTTTTTATTTATTTGTTTGTTTTTATTGGAAAGGCAGATATAGCTTTAGCTGCTTTCCTAGGTCACAGGCAGGGAGCTGGATTGGGTGGGTTGGGGCAGCTGGGACACTAACCTGTACCCATATGGGATCCTAGCGCGTGCACGGCGAGGATCTTAGCTACTAGACTACCATGGCAGATCAGAATGAAGTTTTATTTAAGAAAAAGGAAAACCGTATGATCAGAGGAGGTGGAAGAGAGATCAAACACAGGTTATGTGATCTTAACTGTTAATATAATCTGGACTTATTGATATTGGTTCTTTTTCTCTTACAGCAGCTAATAATTATCAAAAGAAAATTAAAGTTTTTGGCTAGTCTTCTAGGTTACCCAGGGGTTAATGGCAGTGTTAGTAGAGAAACGCTCTGCATGAAAGCTTATAGTGAATTACAAAGAGTTCTATGTCTTCATTTGTATATGTCTGTGTTTTCAGTCATATTCATAGAGAAGAAAGAATCACATTCTTAAAAATTGGAGGGAAAAATGCACAGTTAGAAAATAACCTAGGGCCCGGCGCGGTGGTGCAGTGGTTAAGGTCCTCGCCTTGCACGCCCGGGATCCCATATGGGCGCCGGTTCTAATCCCGGCAGCCCCGCTTCCCATCCAGCTCCCTGCCTGTGGCCCGGGAAAGCAGTCGAGGACAGCCCAAAGCTTTGGGACCCTGCACCCGTGTGGGAGACCTGGAAGAGGCTCCTGGCTTCGGATCGGCATAGCATCGGCCGTTGCACTCACTTGGGGAGTGAATCATCGGATGGAAGATCTTCCTCTCTGTTTCTCCTCTCTGTATATCTGCCTTTCCGATAAAAAAAAT